TTAGATGGTCCTGCACCTATTCGCGTGCTTTTAATGTTTTGGAGCGAGAGGTCTTCGAGAACGTCAAGGTGAGTACAACATGTTCTTATTGTTTTCAGTATTTAATATTAAAATTCACCTAACTATTTGTGTTATACAGTCGAAGGTTGTAGTTCGTTCGGAGGCGACTGATGTCGAACGACAGCACATAGCTCGTGTTATGCATCCACCAGTGGCCCCTGTCGGACCTCCTGCACCCACAGAACTTGCTACAGAACCACTAGCTACTACTTCCACCGCTCAGAAGTCTCCCGTTACTGGTGAGGTTGGGGATCCAATTGAGCTCGATGATGTAGCAAAGGATGCTTCCCCAGTGGTTGATCATGTAACAGAAGATATTATTGAGACCGATGGAGGATAAGATCAATTGTTGCCACAGAAAGGGACGGAGAAGAAGAAGAAGAAGTCGAAGCATAAGTGGAGTCGGGAGCTGAGGAGGCTCGGCGACAGAGTGACGGCCATTGAGACAACTCTGACGGGCATGACGACTGACATAAAGGACATAAAGAAGTTTATGAAGAGGCTAACAAAGGTAAGGGTTATTGTATTGTATTATCTAAATTTCTTGTTCACATCCGTATATTTATAATTTTTATTACGTACGTTATGTCGAAGGGCCAGAATAAATATGATAGAAGGGGCAGTGTGCCGGATCAGGATGGTTCTTCGGGTGGACGTGATCCGAGTGGGCATAACGAGGAGGATATGGACATGGATGAGGATCCGAAGACAGGGAAAGAGCCGAAGACAGGGGACGAGCCGAGGATGGACGAGGATCCGAAGACTTGTGAAGAACCCGCCGACGTTCACGAGAGTGACGTGGAGATGGATCACACTCCTACCATTGTTGGAGCTACCCAGGAGGTCCCAAGTGGCCACCCTAGTCCGGTCGACGTAATTGAGGTATTTCTGTAACGATACTAACTTTTTTACGTTAACCTAACTTTATTTACTTAAAGCAAATGTTCGTCCATTTTTAGGATCTTACTCTAGGTACGTGCGCCAGTGACGGGGAGGCAAGTAAGGGGCAGATGGTTAACGTACCGACACCGCAACCCGCAGGGCCACCGAGAAAGCAAACTGATAGGACAGAAAGTCGACCCCTACCATTATCACATGGAGGAACTCCACACCTGACCGTTGTTAAGGTAACGCCAACGTCCAACTCCAACTCCAACGTCATTAAGTATTGTATTGAACTTCTTTTATACTTGTTACAGGTTGAACCTGAGTTTATTGAAGGCCCACTTGGCCAGGGTCTTCGGAAGAGGAAATATCCGTGGAAGTTGCGRGCCATATACACGCCCAYCGGCCAACGTGGTATCAAAGTTCGAGCGTACGACCCTACATGCCYCATCCCACCGCTCCTGGACGAGGGGTTCCAGAAATGGATGGACGACCCATCAAYCGACGGCAATTCCCGTTCAACGTCCGTCSGGATCAAATACAAGAGTTGGTTTGGCCTGCTCCTGGATCYTGAGTTTCAACTCGACGACGAGGTTAGTGAAGTTTAGAAGCAGCAAAGTTGTTTTTAATTATAGACTTATACTTTTTATAATGTCACATGCAGTATATCGACTMGCTCATGATGTTAACGRCGAGGAAGGTTGAGAAGTGTAAACATCTATTGCGCGTGCGATTCGCAATAGGCGACGTACTTCTATCCGTAAGTTCGGCTTACCTTTCACCCATGTAACGAACGATATTACTTCGATACGTGAATGACGTTTGTGGGGGGTTTTTTTTTCAGAACTTGCTACGACGAACAGACGGACCATATGCAGCTATGAAGCCAGGTGTCCTGCCGTCGAAATGTACGTATGATTGGAGGCAAGAGCGTACCATCTTTCGGTACGTGCTTGGTC